GTGGGTCGCGGGGTGGGTCGTGGGGTGGGTCGCGGGGTGGGTGGCGGGTGGGTCGCGGGTGGGTCGCGGGTGGGTCGCGGGGTGGGTCGCGGGGTGGGTCGCGGGGTGGGTCGCGGGTGGGTCGCGGGTGGGTCGCGGGTGGGTCGCGGGTGGGTCGCGGGGTGGGTCGCCGGTGGGTCGCGGGGCGGGTTGCGGGTGGGACGACGACAACAAACAACAACAATAAACAACAAACAACATCAACACGAATCCGCATCGCGGAATCCCACTTCAGCCACGCACCCAGGGACAGTGAATGACCGTTCGGCCCCCTCACTCTGATGTATTCAAGAAACTGCCCTGTAGCGTATGGGAGTATCTCGAGCGAGGGCTGGCTTCCCCACCCCAAGTGGGGCAGCCACGGGGCAGTGCGCCGGACCATGCTGTTGCGGCTCTTCTGTTTTCAGAGTAGACGATGATGAGGAAGGCGCTGGCTTCACCACCCCAAGGTGAGGCCGCCATGGGGTATTGCGTGGAACCGCTCGTGGTGAGAATGCTGATCTGTTTCAGGCGGTTTGCGTTTTTCGGAGCCCCCGATTCATGTGTCGGCGCCCCCGATTCATTTTCTGCCAGAGTAGATTAGGATGACGCCTCGAGCGAGGCGCTGGCTTCAGCACCCCAAGGGGAGGCCGCCAAGGGTATTGCTCAGGATTTCGCGGCCAGTCTGTTGAGATGTCTCAAGCGGTTTGCGTGTTTCGGCGCCCCAGACCCATGTGAATTCAAAGCAGAATGTGAGGGTGTCTGGAGCGAGGCGCTGGCTTTAGCACCCCAATCGGGAGACGCCCAAGTCCGTTCGCGCGTAACTTGCAGGGATTTGTCAGGTCCTTGGTTTGACGCCCCTGATTTTTGCGCTGTCATAGCAGAGTGATAGGATGTCTCGCGCGAGGCGCTGGCTGCAGCACTTGAAGGGGGGGCCGCCAGGGGCCAGGGGTGGTTGCACTCCCCGTTCGCGGCCAGATTGTGGGGATGTCTCAGCTGTTTGGTTGCTTGGACTTCTCTGTTTTCAAGACAGGTGTTGAGGATGTCTTGAGCGAGGCGGTGGTTCCAGCACCCCCAGCAGGAGCCGCAAGGGGTGGTTGCAATCCTCCGCTCATGGCCAGATTGTGGGGATGTCTTCTCCTCCCGTCTTTCATCCCTGAGTTCTCCTCATCCTTCTCTTTTCTTCCTCTCTCCATCCTCTTCCTCCCTCCTCCTTCCTCCTCCCTCTGTTCCTCCTCCTTCCTCTCTTACCGCTCCTTCGTTCGTCCTCCTGGACGGTGTCACAGCGCGAAGGCGGAATATGGATGTGGCAGCACGCTTCGCGACTTACCGATGCCACTCTTGTTCACATGCTCCGGGCTGGTAGGGCGAGGCGGTCGCGACCAGAAGAGCTGTCATATATTTTTCCTCCGATATCACCATCGCCTCTCCTTCCTTCCTCGAATACGCGCGCAAGCCCAGCCATCCCATAACAAGATAAAACCTGCCTTTGCTTCTACCCCGCCTGGGCAAACAAATCGGCACGCCTCGATCACGCACGCGCAGGGCCACGGCGGTGACACTCTCATCCGCGCTCTCGGCGACGCGGCCTGCCAGATCCTGGGCGATGTCGCGCCATTCTAAGGCCGCCTCCGAGCCGCCAGCTGGTGACAGCTGTGCAGGAGCCAGCTGTTACACAAATTTGTGCTCGCGTTGAGCACGCTTCTCGTGAATTTCAGTCGTGGTCTACCTATGTCTTATGATGAGTTTTCGTTTGGGCGAAGCGGGCTTCGTTGGCCACCTATTGCAACTTCGACGCCGATTGGCCAAGGGCCTTTCTTTCATCCTTACCTTGCACCCTTCTCATTGGCCATGGCTGTAATTCATTGCGAGTCTGCCCTCGCCGCAGACAGCATCTGGCCACCCCGCCCGTGCCTTGCCAGGGCCGTCCTGGGCCCCAGGATGATACCTGAATTTTCTTTGACACCATGCCAGGGCCCGGGACGGACCAAAGATTTTTTGGGGGGACCAGCGAATTTTTTGGGGACCAGCGAATAATTGTGGGGGGCCAACGAGTTTTTTGGGGACCAAAGAATTTGTTGGGCAAGGTACGGCCGTGAGGAACACGACAGATTCGCGCCGCGTTGGCGCGGCGGCGACCCCGGCGGTGGCGCTCAAGGTTGGACGCCGCTGATGGCCTGGAACTGGCTGGTGTCGAACGGCCCGCGACACCAGCAGGGCCCGACCCTTGATGGGCCTGGAACTGGCTGGTGTCGAACGGCCCACCACAACCACCATTAGTCGGAGGGGGAAGGAGGTGGAAGATGAGGAGGAGGAGGACGGAGAGGAAGAGTTGGAGGATGAGGAGGAGGAGGACGAAATGGAGGAGGAGGAGGAAGAGGAGGAGGAGGAGGAGGAGGAGGAGGAGGAGGAGGAGGAGGAGAGGGAGAAGGAGGAGGAGGAGGAGGACGAGGAGGACCCCCTACCCCTCGTACTTATGGTGGTGGCGGTGGAAAACAAGCCCACGGATCCTTCTGGGCTGAAGCGGCCCACGCGTTGTCTGAGACGCACGCCGACGCCGCCAAGACGTGAGCCTGCCGTGGGGGGCCCTCTGCCTGTTGCTGCCTTCCAGCCGGCGTGGTATACCCCGTGGTCGACAGCCCACTTTCTAACTCTAGCTGCTCATCCTGCTCTAATTCATCGTCTACCTCCTCCTCCTCCTCTTCCTGATCTGATCCTTCATATTTCCCTGATCCTCCTCCTCCACCTCCTCTTCCTCCTCCTCTTCCACTGTGCATGGCCAGCCTACTACCAGGCCCTGTGCCTACTGCTGCCGTGAGGTTTCATTCGGCACTGGTGCTGGTATATCCGTGGTCGACCACTGGCCGCATCCGGCGTACTCCTGCGAAGTCCCGCGCAACCTGCCCCAATCGGGTTGAATCCTGGGCCTCATCCTGCTCACGTTGGCTCCATGGCCCATTCTCGAACGGGGCTGGGGCGCGGATACATCCGTTCCAGAGCGTTTCGGAACGCCTTCAGAGCGTTTCGGAGCGCTCTGAGGAGGCCGCGGCGCCCAAAGACATCTTCCAGAGTCGCCGGATCTCAGAGGTCCTGGATTTGATCCCCACCCGAATGTATTCTCGTCCTGGCTTCGTCTTGATCGTTCCTCTGGAGACCTCCCAGAAGTTGCCTCCTGAGTGCTGCCACCCAGGAGGGCCTCAGGGGTGCACGAAACATGTCATTGGGGGCAGGGGCTCACGGTGGCCGGGGGCGGGGGGGGCCTGGATCTCGGCCTTCCGGGAAAAAAAGTCCGCCGAATCTAGATTTTGTCATTCATTTGTGGCATGCGTTTTCGCTGAAAACGGGGAAACCGCGCAAACGGTGTCCGTTCGCTATCTCGCGATCTCGCCGACCGAAAAGTGCTTGGATGTTACAGCGCGGTGGAGTCGCACGAGGCGCTCATATGGCAGGCCGGTGTGCCGTGATGCCGACCCGCCCTGGCGAGACCTCGTCATAAGCGCAGCAAACAGAGGGGGACATGCTGTCCTCCATCTCCGTCGGAAGGAGAATGACGAGAGCGAGGACAAGGAGGAGGAGGAGGAGGAATGCCCGTGGTGACACAGTCTGCAGTCTCAGGTCCCAGGATGAATACCAGAAGGACGTCCCTTTGAAGAGGGTCGGGGTAGGGGGTAGGGGGTGGGGGTTGAGAGGGGAGGGGCGACGGGGCATGCGGAGCTTTTGTTTTTGGCCGCCAGCTTTCAGGCTTGCCAGCACCCGCCCGCCTTCTCCTTGGATGGGCGGAGCGGGCAAGTTGGTTCCCCTTTGGGGATTGCGCACGGTTTTTTCGCACGGCGCCCTGGGCGAAAAAAACGGCGCGGTGCGCGCGAGGCCACGAGGCGTCTTCTGGGGGGAGAGGGGGTGCTTTGCTCGGAGGCGGGGGGGACCTTTGGATCCTGGCCCTTTGTCAACCAATGGCACATCCAGGGTTGATGGTAGACGAATCACTTGTACTGCCGTAGAAAACTAGTAACCGTGTAAACGCGCCCGCGTTGCAGATTGGTGTAAGCCTCGCGAATCGGACGGTCGAGCAACATTTTGCTTTACAAATCGCCAGAGTCGCAGGAGGCACAGGCGCCTGTGACTCGCCAATGTTTCACGGTACCCATCCGCCCGGGCGAAAAATGATCGCAAACGCAAGCGACCCCAATGCAGGAGGAGGATGCAGAAGAAGAGAAGAAGGAGAGGAGGGACAGTAGGAGAAAGAGGAGGGGGAGGAGTAGGAAAAGGATCATGAAATTTGAACACAGAGGATGAGGACACAAAGGGGGAAACACAGGGGGGTTGTGTTGATGATGGTGAGGAGGAGGACGAGGAGGAGGAGGAGGAGGAGGAAGAGGAGGACGAGGACGAGGACGAGGCACAAGAAGGATGATCAAGAGGAAGGCGTCGGAAGAGACGGCGATGGAAGGAGGGTGGATGGGGAGAGGCGAGGTGGAGGAGGGCCTCCCTCGTCCGTCGCCGCCGTCGGCGACTGCGTGCGATTGTGGCGACCGCGACGGTTTCCTCCTCCTCGTCCTCCTCCTCCTCCTCCTCCTCCTTCTCAACCCCCTTCCTCCTCCTCCTCCTCCGTAGCAATTGTGGCTCAAGATGTCATGCTCCTCAGGGGAACAAGTGGATACCGCTAGTCCGCGGCGAGCAAGACCCCTGGGGTCTGGCAGCGCGCTTCTCCACACCTGCGCTCGAGTTAGTGGGTGAACGGAGGCATTTCCCGTTCCTGCCCTCTCGAACGCCCAGAGACATTCATGGGCGGTGTCCGCAATGGCGGACAGCAGGCAGTCCGCGGCCCCAAGAGGAATATCAAGAAGGCTCGCCGAGGTCAAGCTGATGGTGCTGCTGTCGTTGATGACGGCGATGATCAGGCTGCTGGCTCAGACACTCCTGTCCCTCCTGCTATCGGGGTTTCCTCCACTGCGGCCCCTGCTGCGGGGGATGATGATGACGAGGACGTCAACAGCGAGGACGAATGGACTAAAGACGATTACATCAAGCAGCTGGCTGGGGACTACGTATCCAAGAAGATGACCGAGCACAGGGACGAGCTCATCCGGGACCTCATCAAGGTGGTCTCTGCGACGGTCCCCGACCAGATCCAGGATTTTGCCGCTCAGCTTACTGAGCACTCTCGTGCTGCTGGGAAGTTGGCGGAAGGAGTACAACAGCTTCCAGCTATGGCCAAGCAAGCATCCGAACAATTTTGCTCCGAGAAGCTGGATGCTTTCTACCGCAAGTTCCAGGAACAGTTGGACGGCCACTCAGTTCGACTTCGTGCCGTTGAAAACAGGTTCGATGGCCGCGACTCTGAACTGCAGACACTTCGAGAGCACATTCAAGAACTCCGCGCTGCCCTCGCGGTTGCCAACGTCCAGCCCAAACCACCTCCCGCTAGCGCTGCAGGCTTTGACAGGGATACCGACGCAACGATCATCCGCAGCATGGCTTCCAAATTGGTGGACTTGTCTGCGGTACAGCGAATCATGTCGGACTGGGTCGTCAGCTGCGGGATCAAGGCCGAGTTCTTCACGATCTCTTCCAGCGAGCAAGTCGCCAAACAGTTCGCGGTCCAATTCTCTGGGGCAGCAGGACCTGCGGCTCGTCGTGTCTCTCAGGTTCTCGGCGCTCAGCGGCTCGCCCCTGGCCAATGGAAAAGATTCGAGGTCATGGCCATGGACGAGCAGACGGCGACGCTCCACATGGCGCGGACAAGGGTCCCCGACAAATCAGGCTGGAGATCCAGGGCCGCAAGCTCAGGGAGGCCTTCAAGAACGTGGCCCCCGACAAGAGATGGTTCTTCGACCGTGACAGGGGCTGCCTCATGGCGGGGTGGGGCCCGGTGCTCCGTCTCTCTCCCAACCCTGGGAACATTCCCTCGGAGGTCGCGCGGGCAGACAACATTGCGCAGAAGCTGGCGCTCCCGAAGGATCAGCTGGCGGAGGCTGTCAGAGGCATCATCTCTCCGCCTGGGGCTGCAGAGTGGTCTCTTTAATGGGCTTGCTGCAGCTATTCATGGACGTTTGGCGCGCCCCCCGTCGTTCTCATTCTCCTCTTGGAATGCCCGCGCTCTTCTTCAGTATCATGGGCATGCTGCTCGGCCGAAGCTCGCCTACCTCAAAAGGCTGAACTTCACTTGCGGCAGTGTCGCCATCCAAGAGGTTCACCAGGGCAAGAAGCAGCTCATCGACTTCCTCTCCAAGGTTGCACCACGCGCGAAGGCCCACGCCAGCTACTGCGAGGGGTCTGCAGTACGGGGCGGCGTTGCCACCATCATTCCCGCTGAATTCCGCGCTGGGGTCCCTCGGCGATCTTTAGTCCCTGGTAGAGTGCTACGAGTAGCCCTTCAACTGGACGGCTCCTACGTTCACTATCACAATGTGCACAAACACGACCTGACCATTGCCCAGCTCAATGGAGTGTCGAAAGATTTGGTTGCTGACCTGAAGGCGGCTCATCTGGATCCTCTTCGCCATGTTGCCATTCTTCATGGGGGCCTCAATTTTGCTCCACGTGCTCCTCTCCTTCCTCGCCAACCTCGCCGCCGACTCGCCCAAGGTAAAGGACAACGCGCCAGAGCCGCACATTGGACCCCGGCGCTGAAGACCACGATGGAAACCTTTTCTGGCGAGCCAACACACTACGATCGCCACGCTCACTCCGTCTCCATATTGGATCGGCTCTGGTGCAGTTGGCCTGGGTGGATTATGACACAGCTTACGGCTGAACCTAGTGTCATTGATTGTCCTGGGCGCCTCGCTGAAACCAATGTCAGCGATCATGCTGCGCGCGTGGTGGAGATCGCGCAACGATCTCTGCGGCCTGCTCATGCCCCTCGAATCTCACGGCACCTGTTTGGAAGTGATGAATTCCAAGAGCAACCCACGACTGTTTTCGACAGGCTCAACTATGCGGACAAACGCCCCCCTCGCCAGATCGAGCTTCACAAGTGGGCCATTCGCGAAGTGGCTGCCGATCTTCCTGATAGGCTATTTCATCTGGCCACTGAGGACAATTCGACGCTATTGCTACGTGCTCGGCAAATTTCTAGGATCGTCTGGCGGAACGATCACAAGCTTGCTCGCAAGCTCATGGCTAACCATACTGCGGCCTACGAGTTCTTAGATATTCAGAACAACATGGTCCGTCTACGCCATCCTGCCTCCTTTCAACACTGGCGCGATGAGATACAACGTCGACATGCTGATCAACTTCGCACTCGACTTGAGGAACGACTATCTCGACCTCGTGCACCACAGGCTATGCGACATCAACTTGCTGCAGTGGAACGGCGTGCGGGCACCTCGTCTCCTCTGAACCGCAGGTTGGAACTGCGTGCGGCGAAGCACCCGTCGGACCCGACCTGCGTCTCCAGCGACTCCGCGACCATGCCAGACCGCCTGGTCGAGCACTGGGCCCCCATATTTAAGGCCAAGCCGACCGACCTCAGCCAAGCACAAGCACACATCGAACACCACGTTCCGCTATTGGACTTCTCCAAGGTTGATCCCCTCATCGCCTGCACTTCTGCGGCGCGTTGTCAACAAAATGCACCACTCTGAACTTGGGCTGGGCTCCACCCCTTACACTGCTTGGGCGGCCAAGGGCGGGGAGGTTGATGACTCTCTGGCGACTGGGCGTTCCCGCCCCCCTGGGGCGGTTCGGTTTCTGGGCCCGCGGAATACGGACGCAAAGGTAATCACCGCCACAGTCAACATCCAGTTCAGCCAGCTGCTCATGGATCGGGCACCTCGATCGCAGAGGGGCTTCATCCCCAACAGGAACTTTGGGGTCAACATTCTCGAGCTCGACGTCGCAGCCCGCGCGCATTCGAACCCCCCACTGCAAGCGCTGACCTTCCTGCCCTTGTTGCGCTGGACTTCGGCGCGGCCTTCCCGAGCCTGGCGCAGTCCTTTATGATGATGGTCTTTCGGCAAATGCAGGCCCCCAGCGCGTCCATGGCTATCTTGGAGCAGCTCTATCATATATTGGGCGCTATCGTTATGAAGAACGGACTCCCTACGTTTGCGTGGCGCATCTCCTCTGGCATCATTCAAGGATGTTCGCTCAGCGGATCGAGATATGCGGCAGTGACGGCACGCTTTCTTTTCGACCTTCAGACGCGGATGGAGGGCCCACGGCTCGGCCTTGCACGTGCTTGCGCCGACGATATTGGCTGCGTCGTCCAGCAACTACAGGCGCTCCGCATCCTCGCTGACGTGATGCAGACCGCGGAGAAGATCGCCCCGCTCGTGCTCAAGCCAACCAAGTGCCTGCTAGCGCCGCTCCGCGCACAGTTCACGGAGCAGCTGGCCGCCTCCATGCGTGAACCGATCCGTGAGATGGTTCCTATCTTTGCCAACATCCAAGTGATAAGTTCTCTGACCTATCTTGGCGTAGTCTTGGGCCCTGCGGCAGATGAGCTCATGCTGGCTGGCGCCATCCATTAAAGTCACAGTCAGATCTGTTAAAGTCACAGTCAGATCAAATATTGACGGGTGCGAGTCCTCTCGCAGTCTCGCGGCTGGCGGTCAACTACGCGACGAGAATTGCCCCCGTGCTCTCGTGCGTCGCGCAGTTCCGCATGATGCCAAGTTGGCTCCTCCGCGAAGAGCTGATTGCCCTCTCCAGGACGTTCAGGATCCCCCTCGGCACCTTTAACAGCTCGGCCTGGCTCCGACTCCGCGGCGTTGGTGGTCCATCTGCACCTTCCTGGCTTGCCATGAGCATTGGGGCCTTGGCAAGGACGACACGCGCCACGCTCCCTGAATTTCAAAGACTACATGGCTGGATGTATCGCCAACACCAGCAGCTAGGCGATCTTCGTGTGCTATCTCAAACTGTAGCTAGTGGGCGGCGGCCGTATCCACATTTCCGGCACTCAGAGGCTTTTGCCGAAACCTCCGCGACTGCTCCGCCTCCAACATCTTCCCTGACTACTCGCAGGCACACCTGGTCTCAGCCAATGCAGAAGCTGACCGATGGCAAACAACGCAGCCCATGTCAGTGGGTTTGCAACGATGCGTAGCCACGCTGATCAAGACTCGCATCTGCCACTCCCCGCTGTGGAACTTCCTGGAGGCACGACTCATCCGCCGCTTCCCTGAGTTGGGAGTGATGGGCGACTCTCTTGTTCCTGCGCAACGCTGGGTCCACATTTTCCAATATCTTCGTGGATTCGCACTGCCTCGGGCATTTGCATGCCTCAAGACGGTTGCCAATGGCTGGGCGACATCGTACAGGATACTTCAGCCGCACGGGCGCCTCTCGTGCCGATTTGGATGTCCGCGGGGACCTGATGCTGTTTTCCACTACTTACAGTGCCAACCCTCTCGTCTCCTTCTGGAGCAAGAGCTCGGCTACTCGCGGCCCTCCCCCCCGCTGGGTCGTCTGGGCCTTATGGGCTCGGCTGTCGAACTGGACAAGATGCTCTTTGACGTTGCGGTGATGTACTACACATATGTCGGTGCAGCTCACTCTTCAGCCGCTTATGTTTGGAGGCGAGAGGCGGCGCGCTCCTTTGTCAAGGCAGCCATTCGTACCGTACAGCTAGGTGCTACTGCGCCATCGAGAGCACCCCCGGGGACAAGGTGTGCTGGGCGCGCGCGCCCTGACAAGAGAAACGGGCCATCCTGCTCTTCCTCACTCTCGTCATCGTCTTCCTCGTCTTCTTCTGGATCTCCCTCGCCACCATCGAGCGATGTGCCCCGTCCCTCGCCATCAACACCGGGTATCGACATCATTGAGGGCGCTTTTGCTCTTGCTGGGGGCTCGTCTTCATCGTGCTCTTCACCGAGATCGCCACCGTCACTCCCTTGCTGCATTCCGTCCACGTTATCGCCAACTCCCATTGCCACGGCCGCGACAACTCTGGGGGTGCCACTTGCCTGCTATGCCTTCGACCATGGTGCTGGTTACGGTTGAGTGGGAGACATTGTTGAGGTGTTCCCAAATGAAGAAGCCTGGCGATCCGCTTCCCGATGCTTATCATCACAGGTTTGCTTTATGCTGCGCCCGCAGAGTATCACGGCTCAAGCTGGGATATCCAGCGACTTACCTCAAATGATCGCCCTCGCTTTGGGATTTCTCTTTCAGCCTGTGGCTGTCGCTTATGGGGCCACTGCCAGCACTACATTTACAGCGACGACGAGCATTCCTACTCCACCGTTCACGCCTTTGCCGCCAGTTATGCGGCGCCCTGGGCTTACTCCTGGGCCGCGCGACCTTATTGGTGGACGAGAGCTGGGCGGTGATCGCGAGACGTCGACTACGGCTGCACTTCATGATGTGGATCTTCCTGCGCCCTTTGAATCCTTTGTCCCCCCATCGGAGGAGACAGGCCTTCCTATCGCCGCTCGCCGCCAGGCGCTCGAGGACAGAATTGAGGCGTGGGCTCGCTCGTGGATCACCACGCTGATGGTGAACACGTGCGGCTCTGACTTCGATCAATGGATGCAGTGGTGCCCTGACTATGTGGAGAACGTTCTCAGGTATGATGACTTTCAATTTCTTTGCGGTGGCTGGGCGGGCAGGCGGCAGCTCGCTCTGGACTGGTGTCTAAGCGGGTGGTACCGCAGCGCCATTGTTCGAGAGCAACTACGGCGCCTCCTCATTTACCCATGGCCTGAGCATGATGAGAAACGGACGCGGCGCCTCCGCCTTCTGGCCATGGCGCATGTGAAAAAGCTCGGGTGGCGTGCCGACCCGTCGCGCATGTCCGCAGCCAACCGCGACGACTACTTGGTGCAGATCACTGCGGCTCCACCGATCGCCCCACCTGCGCCCATGCCGCATGTCTACGTTCTTCCGCACCTGCTTATCGACCTGACGTTCGAAGCTCTCGCCCAGGGCGAACCGCCGCCTGATGAGGATAACGCCAGCATCGACCACGAGGGAGTCCCGAACCCCTCCGACTTGGATCTCGAGCTCATGGCGGCGGGCGCAGGCGACGGCGACGACCCCTCGAGCCACGCGCTGGATATCGCCATGCGAGCTGATGAGCACCCACCACATCCTGGGCCGCATCTCAGCGATGATGAATTCGAACGACAGCTTCTACGTGTTCTGCGGCGCTCTCGTGATGATGCCGACGAGGACCTGTCTCGCGACCCTGCGGTTGGTCCCCCGGGTGATGCCCCTCGGACTGCGGCTCCCGCTGCACCCGCGACGCAGAGTACGAGCAGCTCTTCGGGTGTGTCAACGAGCACTGATGATGACTTTGATGCAACGATGGCAACACACGGTTTCGGCGTCATCTACCCTGACGGCTCCGTGGGGGGGTGCCCTTCTGCCTGCTCTTGACGTACCACCAGTCCTGGAACATCCTCCTGTGGACCGTCCTCCCCCTATACCTGAAGCAGTGGCCGACGATTTCCCTGGCCCACAAGCTCTGGGTATTCCACCTGTGGATCGACTCCCACCTGTTCATTATGCTTCTGATCTCGCTCTT